TGACCCCCAGGTTGGTGACAGTTGGCTTAACAAACTGGGCCAAGGAATCTACAAACACATTGGGGGTCTCAGTAGGACTACCAAAAATCATCACCTCAGTCTTTTTATCATTGAATTTTAAAAAGTTCACAGACATCCAAGCCTTTATGTCGTCAAGACACTGAAGTAATGGCTGTATGAGGTTTCTGCCTGCCTTTTTTCTTTAGAGGGACATAGATCTGACAGTCGTCAGCATACAAGTGGAAGGCAATGCCATGCTTTCTCAATATAGAACCGAGAGGAAGAAGATACAAAGAGAAGAGGAGGGGGCCTAGAACTGAGCCCTGCGGGACACCACACAAGAGAGGAGCAGAGGACGACACATAGTCACCGAGACTGACACAAAATGTTCGCCCCGCCAAATAGGACCTGAACCACTCCAGAGCTGTGCCGCTAATGCCCACCCAGTGCTCTAAACGAGAGAATAAAACAGCATGATCCACAGTATCAAAAGCAGCTGTCAAATCTAAAAGCACAAGAACAACACAGTCCCCAGCATCCATTGCTAAAAATATGTCATTTAAAACTTTTAAAAGGGCTGATTCGGTGCTGTGAAAGGGTTTAAAACCAGATTGGAAAACCTCTAATACATTTTGCTTTTCCAGGAAGGCCAATATTTGGCTATAAACTACCTTTTCAAGAATTTTAGAAAGAAAAGGTAGTTTGGAGATAGGCCTGTAATTCGCAAGAACCTTTGGATCAAGAGCAGGTTTTTTTTTATCAAACAAATATAACACTGGTAGTGACAGACAGCAAGCCACGCACACCGGAGCCATCTTTATTATCAGCTCACAGTGTCTGACTCGTCTTTTCTCATAACCTAGAATCTTCTGGTGCTGATTTATAACTGGCAACCATTGCTCAGTGCGGACTGGTTTGTTTTGATCCATGGACTGCAGTACCCACATTTGACCACAGGATGTCATTCTTGTTGTGCACCTTTAATTTTCTGTTACTGTGAATCTCTTATTTTTTTCTTATTTTATTTTATTTTTTTCACCAAATGCAAATCATCAAATTTTGTGACATTATGGATACAAAACAGTGCAAGTCAATGATGTTAATGGTAAAATAAATACTTTGGCCCACATGGTTTTGAAAGGATTTGTAAAAAAAAATACTATAAGAAAAACTACTATAATAAAAATAGCTGTTACATCTTAAAAAGGAGAGCAAACCCAGTGGAACTCAGGTGAACTTGTGATGGGTTATTTATATCAGGCTTTGTTCAAATGCAGCCTCAGTGGAGAGGACACACCCCATAAATTTTCTATGGCCCCTATGAGCAGGTCAGGAAGGCACCAATATTTCCTCTTTATTAGAAGCAACTCACAGCCATAAAGGGAATCTTTGAGGTGAGTGTGAAACACTGGAAATGCCAGAGAAAGCTTGCTGCTCAGCTACCTGAGAGTTAGTCACACAATCCATTTCCCACCAGCCAACTTGTCTGTGACTTTGGAGGACTTCCTCCGAACTCCTGCAGCAGCGACTTGCAGGCTCCACACGCTTCATCACAGGTCGACTCTGAGAAGAATTTAAAAACACATAACAAATGGTTGTGAATGCTCAGACAATTGATATCGGCTGAAGCGCCATAACCCTCTACATATCCTGACCTCAATTTGAAGTGCGCGTTCTGAAGGCCCATCTGAGGGAGATGGTATCGATCTGAGCAGGGCCTCTGTCAGCACCAATAAACAATCAGCTTCAGGCTTCAAGGCCGTGGAGACACGTCTCCATTTCAGCTCCAGGGTTTGCATCTGGACACCTGAGTTGGGACGTCATGGACAGAGGGTGGGACACGATTACGAGAGATTCAGGGACAGTTTCCTCATGAATGGATTCATTAAGTACGTTCTCACATTTGAAACTTGAATTACTGTTAATGTGAAGGAGCGTGGCAGATATAAATCTAGCAAACACGTCTCAATATGTGAGAGAACAATCAATGCCTAATCAGCAGACAAATAGCGTTGCAAGATCTTCTATATCAGCATTACAGTGAGAAAAGACAGTGCTGACTTTGGCTCATTAATCAATAAACACAACAAGCCAACCAATATAGTTGACAGAGACTAATGAAACCATAACCATCTGCAGAAAAGAAGAGCGGCTGCATTTCTCAAGTATAAAAGTGGTATTCAGAATTATTGCTGCTGTGTTTATTTGCATCCCCCTCTTTGCTGAGAGTGTTAAATAAGTGTGCCTCATATATTTAGAGTCCAACAGAACTCACTTTGCTCTAAGCAGCTTGTCAATAGCAAGAAAAAAGGTAAGGAGCAAGAGGGGAGGTCTGATAAAATGCCTCTTAATTACCAGACAGTGAGCGCTGTCCTTTCTCTTTAACTTTCCCCTCCCAGCTAAGTCAGGAGTTTGATTTCTGATAATGTGGATTGCCGACTGAGCTTCATCCCGCCTGGCCCTAAAGCAGAAGGACCTAACGTCAAGCCCTGGGAGAGGATGTTTGACAAAGTGCCATATAGATCCTCTGCTTTTCATCAGAGGCCACTGCTGGTGGAGGCATTAATCAGAGTGCCTGATGGCTCGGCTTTGTTCCTGCTTTACTCTTCTGTAACAATTAGGCAAAGTCATAAATTCAGGCGTTACATGGAAATCAATGGTGTTTAACCCAGCTGTTGGTACAGGTGTAAATGATGAGATCGATGCTGTGAACTTGTAACCTTTTATGTGTAAAATGTTTGTGTTTTTGTTTGAAACTGTAGAATACAGGCAGACCTCATTGTGTCCCTTTTGAATGTTTTCCTCCCTGCTTAAAGAGACTGAAAGTTCATCCTCAGGCCAGCTAGGGGTGGAGATGGTTGTTTTGTAAACGACTGAAACCCAAGCGAAGTCGGAGGCCGGCACACCGAGGGTTTGGTTACAGGAACCACATCTCTGCCCGATCAGAACCATGTGGAGAAACAGCGAGCTTTAACAAGTTCTTATTGTTACACATGGCCCAGGTCAACAGACATGAGTATCAGACTTGGGTATCTACACTGTAAATTAACACAAGACCAGACTTCTTTTTGTCCAGAAATCAATGTCTTGTTCTAAGAACAGTAATCAGAGTTGCTGCTGAATCTAATCAGCAGCAAATTTAAGTGCTTCTTTCTTTAAATTTCTATTAAATATTAACAACTAAAATCAAGTTTTTGCTTTTAGCTATTATATTATGATATACAGTATATGTTTAGTTTTAGTTAGAAATTGTTCATGCCCGAACCTAAGGAGACCTGCCAAAACTTAAACAAATCCGGAAGTGACAGAATCAGAAAGGAGCAAATTTCCATTGACTCCCATTTTGAAAACGCCAACTTCACAGCAGAATTAAACATGTTTACAGCCTGGTTAAAAAAAAAAAAAAAAAAATTAAGTTTAATGGGTCTGGTTTACCGTCATGACAACTCTGAGGGGGGTGATTATTTTTTGGAACTCATCCATTTAGATAATAATAATTAATGTGTGAAATCATTAATTATTAAGAGGATGTCCTTTTAATTGACAGGTAGCAGATGAGCCGTTAGCACTAGCGCTAGCTACTTGCCTCCTGCTTGATCCAGGGAAGGATTTTCACTTTAGAAGTGGGAGGGACACGGGGGGGGGGGGGGGGGGGGGGGGCATGTCCCTCCTGTCCCAACACCCCCCCCCCCCCCCCGCGACCCCACGTGGACAAAGCGGGCTCAGAAAATGGATGGATGGATATATCATGGACGTAATTTTTTTTTTTGGGGGGGGGGGGGGGGGAACAGGAGGGACATGTCTCTCCCCCCCCCCCCCCCCCCACCCACACTTTTTCCAGAGTCAAGTTTTGACCCCTGCACTTTTTACCATCCAAAAACAATATTACGCTATATTACATTGACACTGGTTGAGCTCTGGAACCAAGCGGAAAACAACTATTTGTGTTGAAGCCTGTTTTCCATTAAAGCATACTGTAAAGATACCCCCCCCCCCCCCCCCCCCCCGTGTCCCCCCCACTTCTAAAGTGAAAATTACATCCATGGGATGTATTATATTGTATTATGTCTGAAAAATTAAATAAAAAATGAAAGTATATCTAACAGTTGGGTAACTGTTAAAAAACACTTGCATGAACCACTTTGAAATTATGAAGACTGGAATTGTTTGAGGATTGCAGGACTCCACTTTGGACATGAGTCTTTGATCAGTCTACTTGATTTCCATCTGTTGAAGCGGGGTCTATGGAAATGTAATGAACAGCTAATACATCAATTGTTGTAGATAACGTTTGAATGGCCTTGTGTTTGGAGAAATAAAAATGACTTTTCAACAAATGGGTGAGCTTATAACTGGTAACAATAGAACAAACTGGGACCAGAATTTGTTAATTAATTCTGGCCAAATGTTACTAGTTCTGCAATTAATCTGATACATGCAGCAAAGAACACAAATAATTTAAAATGTGATATAAAACAAATAAAGTTTGAAATAAAGGCTGGTTTGCACATTAATAAAATAATGTTTGCATGTTATTCTATGAATATTTAAAGATTAGAATCCCTTGAAGATGACAGAAACACTTTTTAACTGACTCCACTCAGACTAGTCATTCGCTCATCTATCTGCTCAGATCTAATCTCTGTTCCTCCATGCTGATAACTTTCAACGACCCATTTAAGTGTGTAAACCTTCAAAAGAAATACAACGCCTCAGTTTTATTTTTATTTGTCACTTGTTTATGCTGAAATTTACTGTGAAAATTATGCTTTTTTAATTAGTTATTGATAGAAATCTACAAAACCATTAACACACAGTTCAAATCGGAAAATCAAATTTTAACAAAGTTCTCATTGCGAAACATTCAGTAACTGTGCATGTGGGAATTGCTGAATGATTTTACAGTACAAATGTAAACCCAAACAAACAAAAACTTAAGTCCTGTCTGTGTTTGGGCTCTCAGCCAAAAGTATTTTATTTTGAAAATTCCCAAACGGATGTTGATGCGGAAACACAGCTAAGGCAGCTTCCTCTAGATTAGCTGCTTAGCTAAACACCCAATGCAACACAACAAAAATACTTTGACTCGGGGTGAACCTAGAATCATGTTTTCCGCTTAGATCACAGCTTTTAGGCTGTTAGGTAGTGACTTCCGCTCCGGCGGTGGTTCAGCTGAAGCGTCTGACATTCTGACAGCGGCTAACCCTCTGCAGGAAATTATCTCGTTAGCCTCGATTACCAGTCGAGTGGTGAGGCTTTAACTTTTCTTTTATATGCTAATTTTAAATAACAGAGAAATGGACTCCGAGGCGATAGTGATCCGTATAAAAACCCCTTTAGGGGACATGGACTCGCCTGAGTACTATCCTTCTCTCCTGAACTTCAATGACTTGCTGGTGAGTGTTTTAAATCCTGTTGCATCTCACTGTAAACACATTTAAACGTTCATGTGATTAGCGTTTTTGTCTCAACTGGTCAAACCCCAGCTAATGTGTGTACATCCTACGTATCTGTACAGTTTTAATAGTCTCTCCAACTCTTAAAATAAATACATTTGTAAATAAATTCAAACTTTTTCCATCGCTTTTCCAGTGTCTTGCTGTTTATTAACGTTATTTCTTTGTTTATTCATCTATTTTGCTAAAGGATGCAATAAGAGACGTGATGCCAGAAGCCACTGTCACGGCCTTTGAGTGTAAGTTCCTGTTCTGTTGTATCAGCAGTCTGATTAATGAAGAATAACATCCTAAATTTGCTGTTGTTGTAAAGTGTTGTCTTTGTTATTTAAGGCGCTGTTATTAACACACAGATATTCACAGTAGATTCATTTGTTTTGGTTATCATGAAAGTACTTTATACCACCCAAATGAGATCTTTTTTTTATGTTTTCATTTAACAATCATGCAACTTTAGTGGGATGGTGTACCTAAGGATTTATCCAACATGTAAAATACTATGTTGTTCATTGTAATGTAATGCATAGGTACAGTTATAATTGCTGTTATGTTTGTGTCTGTGTTGAAGTGACAATAATGATCAGTTTTATTAAAACATTATTTTCCTCTGGATGGTGGTGGTGGTGTGTGAAGGTACGTACAGGTGAAGCATAAAGACGTGTCAAATGTCTTGGTTCATTTCTTATTTTGACATGTTTAAAAATTATTCATGTTTTTTAACATTTTAGAACACACACACACACACACACACACACACACACACACACACACACACACACACACACACACACACACTAGGACTTCACACTTAATTTTATACATTTTTTGAATATTTTCAAAATTTATAAAGGGGAAAAAAGTTTAGAAATTCAGTGGCTCATGATGAATTAATATCATTACACAGTCTTAACTGTTGTAACATGACTGTTTGTTTATTTGCTCATTCCCCTAGATGAAGATGAGGTGGGAGACAGGATTACTGTAAGAAGTGATGATGAGCTGAAAGCTATGTTGTCATATGTGAGTACATGGATTCAGATAATTACTTCGTTTGCTGTTGTTTTTCATTCACTGACATGTAAAAACTAACATTTTTTTCTCTACCTGTATCATGTTATTTAACACCTTCCAGAGAAACTCAGGCAGAAGAATGTATGATAAAATATTATAGTTTTTACAATTGAGATGTCATTTTTGATTAAATATAAAGTGTTTTTATGAGCATCACCTTCAACCTGTAAGTAAGATGCTTGGATTAGATCAAACCCCGTCTCCAACTGTGTGAATTCCACAATAGTACACAGCTGCAGACCCGGAGACGGCAGATTCGAGCTTGCTGCAGATTCAATCCAACATGTCCCGCTGGACAGGGATCCTTTACTTCTTGCAGACAAAATCCATTTTTAGGTTCTAAGCATTATTTAAAGTGCTGACTTGATAAGAAAGGAATCACTTCTTCACAACTGTGGAGGTTAAATTCACTACTAGCTACTTGGAGAGACTGGGCATTGGTATTTACAGTCCAGGGGAGAGAGACTACCTGGATGGGGAGGAGTGTGGAAGTGATGATGGAAAGCTGGCCCCATCCAGCCATCTGCAATAGCCTAGCTCAGTTGGGCAGAGTTGAAGGAAAGACTCAGCTGAGACAGGAGAATGAATGTGTGAAGTCATAAACTGCTGTAGTGGTGTTTTTCATGAGGAAAAATAATATAACATGATCAGGAGCTCCAAAAAGTGGATTTAGTATCATATAGGACCTTTAATGCATTTTTACATTTCATGTTAGTTTTCCTGAATACTTTTTCAATCCAAATCTAAAAATAAAATGGTAAATGGACTGTATTTGTATAGTGCCTTCTTCAACCCCCCAAGGCGCTTCATTCACACACACATTCACGCGCTGGTAGGTGAGCTACGATATAGCCACAGCTGCCCTGAGGCGCACTGACAAAAGCGAGGCCCCCCTCCAACCACCACCAGCATGCAAGGCTGGGTAAGTGTCTTGCTGAAAGACTCAGCAGCAGCATTCTCTGGTGGGAGCCGGGATCGAACCTGCAACCTTCCGATTACTGGACAACCCGCTCAACCTCCTGAGCTCCTGCTGCCCCTGAATAATACAGAATTTTGTATGCAGAATAGATAGAACCACGTAGTCTGATTTTAAAGGCAGATTTCTGACTCTTGTGCAGTTCTGATACTGATTTAGGTTTACCTTAAAAACTATAATCAACACAAACTGTTAAAGAAAACAATTCAGATTCATGTGAAAACTTGATTCTAGAGGTAAAAACTTCCACATAGAAGATCTGTTTTTAGTTGCTTTAATTAGTTCTTAGCAATGGTAAGTTAATGAATCAGAAAAAATGTCTGATTAATTCTGCTGCTGCTTGAAAATGATGCGTTCATAGACAGAAGGAAAAAAAATCTGATTTTTGAGTGTCAGATTGGCCCATTGCTGATTAAGTTAATGTTGCTAAATACTGGCTGGTTCTAATCACCCAGTCATTTTTCCTGTCTTCTTCCCTAATAGATTATGATAAATTTAATGGCAGATTTTTGTTATTCATTTCAGACAACTGGCAATAAAAAAGCAAAGTAATTAAGGATCATACGGACATATATGTTACATCAGTACATTAAATGTCATCTTCCAGCAAATTATGAACATAGTTAGGTTGACTACTCAAATCTAATTTCTGAATGTTTTAGTTCAGCAGTATAAAGATTTTAAATCAAAACAAAAAAAATGTCCATATCTAGTCTTATTAAACCAGTTGTAAACAAAAATGTGGCTGATGATCAACATTACTAATTCAGACACACAAAAAGAGGATGTACACAGTTCCAGCTTCAGCAGCACCACCTAATGCAGTGTATTTTCACATCCCACCATACTTACTGATCATGCCACGGACAGTAAGAGTAATGGCTTGTAATGAGTTTCTGTATGACGTACACTGAAAGCTAAATGAACTGTCAATTTTTATTATTTATTATTCAGTACTTAAAGTTTTGCCTCATTAAAGAAAAGCCCCCCTGGGCTGCAGAGTTGTTCAAAATCTACTTTCATCTGTGGATGTCTTTTACCCCCCATCAGCTCACAATGATGCCACTACTGCCACAGGCACAATTTACTCTCCATGTTTTTTTGTCCGTTTTTATTACTTGTGGTTGCTTTTTAATCATGTAGCACAGGATAGCAGTGTGATTAAGCAAAAAAAGGCAGATGTGGTAAAGAGAAGTCTTCTGATTCATAGAACAAAGACATTTAACCTCACAATTTTTTGTTTTTCAGGGACGTTACTGTGTGTGTGTGTGTGTGTGTTTGTGTGTGTGTGTGTATATATATTAGGGCTGCACTATATCGTAAATATATCGTTATCACGATGTCAGCATGCACAATATGCATATCGCAAAGAACAAATAAATATCGCAATAAATGGTGAGCTCAAATATTTGCTAAACATAATGCGTTCTGTCAATCAAACTGAAGTATTATGTTTTTTTAACAAATCAAATAGAGCTCTTCATCCATTTGGCCAAATTGGTGGGTTCTCATCGCAATATTAATCACTGTTATTGAATATCACAGGTTTTCCTTTTATCGTGCAGCCCTAATATATATATACAGTGGGGCAAAAAAGTATTTAGTCAGCCACCGATTGTGCAAGTTCTCCCACTTAAAATTATGACAGAGGTCAGTAATTTACATCATATGTACACTTCAACTGTGAGAGACAGAATGTGAAAAAAAATCCATGAATTCACATGGCAGGATTTTTAAAGAATTTATATGTAAATCAGGGTGGAAAATAAGTATTTGGTCACTTCAAACAAGGAAAATCTCTGGCTCTCACAGACCTGTAACGTCTTCTTTAAGAAGCTTTTCTGTCCTCCACTCGTTACCTGTATTAATGGCACCTGTTTGAACTCATTATCTGTATAAAAGACACCTGTCCACAGCCTCAAACTGTCAGACTCCAAACTCCACTATGGCCAAGACCAAAGAGCTTTCGAAGGACACCAGGAAAAGAATTGTAGACCTGCACCAGACTGGGAAGAGTGAATCTACAATAGGCAAGCAGCTTGGTGTGAAAAAAATCAACTGTGGGAGCAATTATCAGAAAATGGAAGACATACAAGACCACTGATAATCTCCCTCGATCTGGGGCTCCACGCAAGATCTCATCCCGTGGGGTCAAAATGATCATGAGAACGGTGAGCAAGAATCCCAGAACCACACGGGGGGACCTGGTGAATGACCTGCAGAGAGCTGGGACCACAGTAACAAAGGTCCCCATCAGTAACACACTACAACGGCAGGGAATCAAATCCTGCAGTGCCAGACGTGTTCCGCTGCTGAAGCCAGTGCATGTCCAGGCCCGTCTGAAGTTTGCCAGAGAGCACATGGATGATACAGCAGAGGACTGCAAAACTTCCTCAGAGCTGACGCTGATGATGGCGTCACTTCCTACTCCATTTATCCACGGGCAGCTGAGGACGTTGTCGCCCTCTGCTGCCCGCTCTCCCATCTCCGATGATGCAGTCCCTTGCACGATCCAATGAGTAAACTCCATCGTCTCTGTTCATGGTCCCACATCCACATCTCCTTATCTCGATTGCTTCTTTTATCCATCTTTGGTATTTCTGTTGTTCGGTGTTTATGATCCTTGTGTTGTCCCAGTCCATTACATGGTTTTCTCTTGTGCAGTGATCTGTTACGGCTGACTTCTTTACTGTGCTTTCTGCTTCTTGTTTCGCTGCTTAAATGTAGAGTTGTTTACGAAATCCCATGTAAACTCTGCAATAAAACATACATAGGAAAAACCGGACGCCAACTCAACACACGAACAATAGAACATAGAAAGGAGTGCGAGAAAGAAGCAAGTCAAAGACACACAAGAGCAGCAAAACACGAAGCAGAAAGCACAATAAAGAAGTCAGTCGTAACAGATCACTGCACAAGAGAAAACCATGTAATGGACTGGGACAACAAAAGGATCATAAACACTGAACAACAGAAATACCAAAGATGGATAAAAGAAGCTATCGAGATAAGGAGACGTGGATGTGGGACCATGAACAGAGACAATGGAGCTTACTCATTGGATCGTGCATGGGACTGCATCATCGGAGAGGGGAGAGCGTTCAGCAGAGGGCGATAACGTCCTCTGCTGCTAGCGGATAAAGGGAGTAGGAAGTGACGTCATCATCAGCGTCAGCTCTGAGGAAGTTTGCAGATGCAAACGAAACTGTCAGCAAGGTAAAGAGAAACCTTTCCTGTGTTTTAAAAAAGAACCAAAAATGAGATTAGGGCTTTTCTTTGTTAGGTGAATATAAAAGGGCATTACTTGTCAGCTGGACACCTCTTAAATTAATCATTAGACTCACCTATGGTGGAATGCCTCGTAATACAAATTTTGTTGTCTTAAATGTAGCTTTTTTTCCTCATTTTTGCAACTTGGGCTTGAATGGATTTGTCAAGAAAATCACATTTTTGTGTGTGAAAATTAAATTTTATTAGCAATCAATGGTCCACTTTTTGGGGTAATATTTTGTAGTATGGTATCTCACACACACACACACACACACACACACACACACACACACACACACACACACACACACACACACACACACACACACACACACACACACACACACACACACACACACACACACACACTCTTGCGCTTCTGAGATAATTACTGTCACAGTCATTTGATCAAACGATTATGTATATATGTAGTTCTGTGTGTGGCCCACGATAACGGTATTGTTTCAGTAATTACACAAAGTATGCTGAGTAATTGGAGCGGGCAGCCTCTAATGTTGTTCGTTTGGCGTTTCTGTTTACAATGCTCGTCAGAATAAACGGAGTATCTGTTCATCTCCAAAGACGAACAGTGTCACGGCAATCCCTCAACATTAATGCGCACAAATTAGAAGAGATCTGGTAAAGTACAGGTGTGTCAAATAATTGTATATATCCCTGTGCTGAACTAGCAGCCATCCCACAGCTCGTTAGCTTTTTCAAACGGATCTGGAAGTTTGGCTCTAAACTCTGTTAGCTTTGAGATGTTTTTGTTTTTGAGTTCATCTGCACAAAGATGTGTTAGATGATCTAAAGTAGTAATATCTAAATCCCTAGGTTTCATTTTATTAGCTGAAATCACAGAGAAACAGGTCTGGATAGCAGCTGGGGAGGCTCTTTTTACCCTCCAGCATTGTGTGGATGTGTGCTATTACCCAGATGAAAACAGTAACATTCAAGGGGTCTATAGTAAATAATTAATAGAAAAACAAACTATTGCATTTGTCAGATGTTGCAGCAGTCCTTTTACTCTTTCAGAAACCATGTGCACAGTGAATTTTTACTTTTTAAACACTTTTATTATCTTTATCATACAGCTGATTTGATGCATTGTCCACTAAATGTGTGTTAAAGGTTTACTGTGTAGCCAACACTGTTTTTTTAGATGATGTGACATGTGTGAAGTGCATGCTAATGCATGGTCCTGACCTCCAGCATGTTCTACCAAGCATAAATATTTAGTATTCACACTGCACTTCTTTGCCCACAAATTTAAAAACTCATTTGTTCATGGTTTTTTGGCAAATGAATTCAGGAGCGCTGTAATGGCTTTCCACTCATGGGACAGCCAAGTGTACAAAAAGCTGCTGATCACCTGGAAAATACTCAACTCCCTAGAATATAATTTACACCAGTCAGGTTCATGTACTTTAAATGCATTTTATTTCTGTTTGTGGTTGTTTGCTGTGGTTGCCACTTGGCCCCTGCACAACCCCCGGTGGATTTAGGCTTCAGCGTTATTAATTCCAGGTGAGCAGACAGCCATTATGTGAAATTAATAGGAATTAAGGGAAACAGCATGTTAGGTCAGAGGGGAGATCATTTGTTTAGTCTGTCACCTTGTCTGTGCAGGTGTTTTTCCCTGTTTTATAATTATTTTCAGGTATTCTGTTACCGCACGGTCTAACCCCCCCCCCCCCCCTTTTTTTTCAAATTTCTCTTAAACATTTTCTGAAAATAAAAGCACACTCTCATTTGCTTAACAAAATTAATGCTCAAATTCACAATTTCATTAACACAAGTATGCTGAGGGCATTTATTCAGAAAATTTCCTCCATTACTGAAAGCATTGATTGCTACTTGCTCCCATGGGACCAACAACACTTCCGGGTATCTCTAATCATTGTTCGACATCTTGGAAGACAGACATCCCTGCTCAAAGTTAAAGACCAGTCTTTGTCAGGTGCTAAAAAACATGTGACCTCATCTCTTCCTCACCCAGCTCCCCCTGGAGGTAGTGGGTTTTATTCCACCGTTTTTACTCCCCATTTCCCCTTACTCTGCTAATGATGATGAGATCCACACTTCTCTCACGTGTCCCTTAAGGCTGAGCAACGCTATTTGAGTTTGGACACTGTTTAGTTATTGGCCAACAATGGAGAATGTCTTTTAATAACACACCTACTACAGATTAGGTGGTAATTGCAGCTTTAATCAATAAGCTAGCTGAGCGGAAAATTAAAGGTACACGAAGCCCGATCCCCTCCCACAACCTCAACACACAGAGCACGTTTTCTTGTTTTTTGGGGGGTATTAGGCCCATTGTTCAGATGTGGCCTAGTGAAAGTGCCGGAGGGTGAAAGCAGAGGGCTAGGAGCGAGGAGGGGAACTGACAGTGATAAATAGGCCTTTTAATAACAGCTGTGCCACTTGGGTAGCCATTCTGATCCATTCCCATCCAAGCCGGTCCCATCGTCCTCCCTCCCTCCTTCACAATGAGAGAGCAAATTTACATATCGCTGTGGTGATTGTGTAGCTCACACTGGACAGAAAATTAAGCACAATGAACTCATGTAGGTATTTACTGCTTTAAAGTGCCTCGAGTTTGTTGTATTCTTTAAGAACCTTTTTTCTTTGTTTTTAATCTTTCTAAAGTAGATGGAACAGAAAAACTCCCGTAACCACACGCTCTCACATGCACAGAAGCTCACAGTTTATTAGATGGTTTGTTTAACTGAAACATCCATTATGGCTTTGCCTTGGCAAGCAGCTGAAAGGCTCCGGAGTGTGTGTCCCTGTGTTAGTCCTGTAGGGTATGAGTGTTTGGTGAGCTGCTGACCTGGAGGAGAACAGGGTTAATGCTACAGTCCCTTAGAACAAGCCCACGGGGCATTGGCCCTGTTCGGCAACAGATTTCAGCACAGCAGGCTCACGTTTTTCAGAGTACTGTGGACTCATTCTAACCTTAGTGGAAAAACTGCATTTGTGCTTGTGAAGAGAATATTCCAATCACATGTTTACAAAGGAGTGTCTGTCAAACACTGTATAGATTTTAGACTTATTTCTTTGTGAAAGAACGTTAATAGTTCTGCTCCTGTTTCTGTATTACTCACCTCAACTATGTTGTGATTCTCTTCTTTAGTACTGCAACACAATGAATGAACAACGCATGAATGGAATGCTGCCAGACCCGCTACAGATTTTTCCAAGAGGTATAGTGTTTGAACTTTTAATAACAATCGTGTTGTAGGATGATTTGAATGTATAAAAAAAATGTATATTCGTAAAATTTTTTAAATGTGGGGATCTAATTCATTCATTCATTCATTTTTTAAATCACTAATTCCTGAATAGGGTCGCAGGGATCTGGTGCCTAAACCCAGCAGTCATTAGGTGAACTGCAGGGGACACCATTAACAAGCCACTAGTCCATCATGGAGACATGAACTCTCTCACACTTAGAGACAGTTCAGAGTCTCCAGTTCTTCTGAACATTCATGTTTTGGCCTGTTGGAGGAAACCAGAGTACCCGTGGAAAGCCCACGCAGGCTTTGGAGGGGTGTGCTTCAGCCCTGTCTACACGTCTTCTGGTATCTCTCAAAACGAAGATGTTTTCTAGGAAATCAGACGTCGGTACGTCACATATATGATGTCACCACAGAATCTCTTCTCCCCTAGCATAGCTGCTACTTACCAAATGGCCAGATTTATGGTGGTTCTTCCCTCCTGAAGGAAAGATTTGAAGTTTGCTAAACTTACTGCTATTTCCTCTCTGTTTTTCTCCGTGTCTGGTTTGATTACGTCAATTTAGTGAAGCACATTTGTAGTCCTGAACTTATTTTCACACAAAACCTAAAACAACGTTTCCCCCCATTAAAAAATAAGCGCTTTCTTGGTATCAAAATGTACCTTTACAATTCGCGGACATCATATTGAAATCCATGGAAACGGGATTAGAAAATATCATATTTACAGTCAGGTCCATAAATATTGGGACATCGACACAATTTTAACATTTTTGGCTCTATACACCACCACAATGGATATCAAACGAAATGAACAAGATGTGCTTTAACTGCAGACTGTCAGATTTTATTTGAGGGTATTTACATGCAAATCAGGTGAACGGTGTAGGAATTACAACAGTTTGCATATGTGCCTCCCACTTGTTAAGGGACCAAAAGTAATGGGACAGAATAAGAACCATAAATCAAACTTATACATTTCAATACTTAGTTGCTAATCCTTTGCAGTCAATTACAGCCTGAAGTCTGGAACAGATAGACATCACCAGACGTTGGGTTTCATCCCTGGTGATGCTCTGCCAGGCCTCTATTGAAACAGTCTTCAGTTCCTGCTTGTTCCTGGGGCACTTTCCCTTCAGTTTTGTCTTCGGCAAGTGCAATGAATGGTCAGTTGGATTCAGGTCAGGTGATTGACTTGGCCATTGCAAAACAGTCCACTTCTTTCCCTTCAAAATCTCTTTGGTTGCTTTTGCAGTATGCTTTGGGTCATTGTCCATCAGCACTGTGAAGCTCCGTCCAATGAGTTCTGAGGCATTTGGCTGAATATGAGCAGATAATATTGCCCGAAACACTTCAGAATTCATCGTGCTGCTTTTGTCAGCAGTCACATCATCAATAAATACAAGAGAACCAGTTCCACTGACAGCCATACATGCCCACGCCATGACACTTCCAGTACCATGCTTCACTGATGAGGTGGTATGCTTAGGATCATGAGCAGTTCCTTTCCGTCTCCATATTCTTCTCTTCCCATCACTCTGGTACAAGTTGATCTTGGTCTCATCTGTCCAAAGGATGTTGCTCCAGAACTGTGAAGGCTTTTTTTTAGATGCTGTTTGGCAAACTCTAATCTGGCCTTCCTGTTTTTGGGGCTCACCAATGGTTTACATCCTGTGGTGAACCCACTGTATTCACACTGTTGGAGTCTTCTCTTGATTGACTTTCCACAAAAATAAACAATAATGAACAAGAGTCTGCTTCTAGACCTGCAGAAAAAGACAAGAATAAAAAGCAAAAGAGCAAAAAAGGGGACACAACAACAATACAACAAGATCAAGCTATCACGGCGTCAACTTGATGAAGAAATATATCATCAACATTGTTTAACTGAACAATCACACGATAATAAATCACAGTGCATTAAGTGCCCACCATAGTCTTAAGACCTGTGTTTAACGTGCCCAAGTCCATACTTTTGAGAGCACCATGTGAGCACCTGTGTGTGTACACGCGCTTGTTTATGTAAGGTTTCTCTATAGGAGCGTCCAATAGAGAGTGTGAGGGGCCACAGATTTGCCCCCCAAAGATGTGTAGGAGATCCCACCAGGCAGCCACCGGGATTGATCAGGCAGACGCCAAAAATCTTAAACCCCCTGACCCGGGAGCCACGAACAATCAGGCAGACCAAGACACCACACCCCACACCAGGTGTGGCAGGGGGAGGGGGGACGAAGATCTATTTCATCAAAAGAAGTCCCAGGAGAGGGGAGGAGTCAAAGGCCCCACCTGACATATACAGTCATTTACAAACACAGTCACACACTCCCTCCCTCATGCTCACACATGCACATACAACCCAGTCTTCTACTGTCCACTCTTTTAGCTCCAAGGCGATGTACCCAGTGAAAGGTGATGTTTTTTTACCGTTTCTTCGGGTATCTTCATTTGGGCCTGGAGAAAGTTTTTTATTCCAATCCAATCCAATCCAATTTTATTTATAAAGCGCATTCACAAGGCATTACAACCAAACAAGGCGCTGTACACTAAAAATGTTATTTAATTAAACAGGCGTTATACAAACATGTTGAACACAGATAAAAGATAAAAAGGAAATACAACAAAATTCCCAAAAATAACAGCTAAAAATAAATAAGACACAGGGTGAATAAAAAATTAGAAAAACATTTTAAAAAAGAACCGAAAGAACGGAAGTCGATAATTGTGGAGTCCATTTTTAAACAGTGCAGATGTAATTGAGGTTCATAATTATGTGGTATAAGCTAGGTTGAAGTAGTGAGTTTTCAGGCGTGATTTAAAAATGCTAGCTGTTGGTGCTTGCCTCACTAGCAGTGGTAATGTGTTCCACAGCTTATTGTTTGCTCGCAGTTCTCCGCCCCTCCCGCCTGCTCCGGCAGGCCTGCGAAAACTACGGACCTGAAGATCCAAAACCGTCTCCTTCAGAATCTTGTTGTCCAGGGTGATCCGCGTCATTCCCTCTTCCAGGGAAGAAACGGACTCCCGCAGCGACGCGTTCTCAGCGGCTAGCCGCTCCACCTGCTCATGGCTGAACTCCAGAGACTGACGGAGGTTCTGAAACTCCTGGTGTAGAACCTCAAGCAGATGAAGTCGCCCCTCAAATCCCAGAAGCCGTTTATCTATGGAATCTAATAATTCTAATATGTCCTTACGGGGAGATGAGGCCTCAGGCGAGTCCTGAGGACGGCTCCTCTTGGTCCCAGGTGTTTCGGGCTCAGCTGCTGAGTTCTTCGGACCCATAACGAAAGACTCAAAAACTCTGTCAATATAGTTTTTTAAACTTTCTAAATTTTCTTCACTTACCTCCAGGTTGAGTGAGTTATAATTACCAGATTATTTTTTGCGTTGTCAGTAGATAAATTTGGCAAAAATGCGTCTTAATTGTGGATGTTTGTTAACGAGCTGCCATCTGCTTCAAATGCTGCCGTGTATCCGGTGCTCGGCCGTCAGCGTCAGCGCATGCTCACCTCTGTCCCTTTGGATCTCATCTTGACAGTTGACAGCAACAGATTCCAAATGCAAATAGAACACTTGAAATGAACTCTGGACCTTTTATCTGCTCCTTGTAATTGGGACAATGAGGGAATAACACACACCTGGCCATGGAACAGCTGAGAAGCCAATTGTCCCATTACTTTTGGTCCCTTAACAAGTGGGAGGCACATATGCAAACTGTTGTGATTCCTACACCGTTCACCTGATTTGGATGTAAACACCCTCAAATAAAAGCTGACAGTCTGCAGTTAAAGCACATCTTGTTCGTTTCATTTGATATCCATTGTGGTAGTGTATAGAGCCAAAAATGTTAGCATTGGGTCGATGTCCCAATATTTGTGGACCTGACTGTAGTCGCATTGACTTTTATTCATTTTTTCATTCTTCCATGGACTCATGGTCCGGCAGTGGGCGTGACTTAGGCTCCCTATACAAGTGTGGGTCATTTATCGTTTATCCTTCTAGCTGCGAGGCAACAGTACCACTATGCAGCCCACATCAAAGACTTTCTAATTTGTTTAAATAAGATGCAATGCGATAATTATAAAAACATATTCTGTCTAGAATGTAAGCCTTGTCACTTATTTTCCAAAACATTTTTTTTGTTGTTTCTTAAAACAATCTTTTGTAAACACAGCACTATTCCTCAAAATGTAGTATACTAGAACAATAAAAATGACCCATACTGTGACTGCCATGTCTTTTTGTGGTGCTGTAACCTTACCATGAAAAAACACTCACAGTGACTGACTGGCTGTATTAGCCCAACATCAGGTCAGACATTTACTATTCTTATCAGGATTCACTGGGTTTGATCACGTCAGGATTAAACAGCTGCTAAATCCGTTTTGTAGATGATAAGATCACCTGTCCATCACCACCTTACACCCCATCACCTCTTCTTTTTAGTTCTTTCTTCTTTTTTTAACCTATATCTGTATTTTCCCTTCCTTTTTACCTGCTTCTGTACCTTTACACCTGTATGGCACAACCACACAACTTTCCAACACTGCGTCAGACTCGACACGCACGCACACACACGCACACACACCCACACACACATACATATATATATATGTATATTAAATTCACAGCACAATATCATAATTTATGCATCAAATAATACAACCACAAACACTGTTGGATCTTTATTATTATTATTATTATTATTTATTATTTACTTTTCTGTTATTTATTAACATACTATTTATACATTTATATACTTATTCCATCTTATTCACATGAAGGTGTCATATTTTAGCTACTCACACACACATCTATGGGTGCACTAAGGTTTGTCTCATGGAACGTACATGGGGCTGGCTCTAGAGAGAAGAGATTAAAAATTTTTGATCAGTTAAAGAGAGTGCAAGCAGACGTAATATTGTTACAAGAGACTCATAGATCTGCCACATCCGCAGATGAACTTAAAACAC